TGTTTCTATCAATCTCAGTGCCACATGAATCACGTCCAATAAACAGTGACATAATGAAAAGAAAAAAAACAAAAATGTTGCAGTGAGCACTGGTTACTATTCCTGGGCCTACCACGCAGGTTGTATTTGAGAAGGTGAGACGGAAATCGGCTGCGTATTTTGTGACACAGTGACATGCACGGTCCATGTTGTCCAAGCCGGTGCTTTCATCAATCCAACTGAGCCGTTTATCAATTGACCGGCTCACATGTGATGGAAAGCTTGACGGGCAGGCCTTGACCATTTGCCACTGTTCAACTCCTCTTCTATAGAAAATATGAGGAAAATAATAAGTTGGGGTGGTGATGGAATGAGCTACAAAGTAAAGAGAAAAAGGTTCGGCTGTTGACTGCTGGTAAGTTTCTGTTTCAAGGGGGATTGCTGATGAGGACGAGGGTCCAAGGAGGGGAAACATACTTGGTCAGAAAGGCAGTCGGGCAGGTCTCCTAAATGCGTGACAATTGCGTTTCGAAGCGAAGAGAATGGCTCCAGCGGCAGAACATGGTCGTGCTCGCGCCGCTCGCGCCTCTGCACACCCAACGATGGGTGACTCATTGCCGTGTGAGTAGCCGCTTAGCATAGAGTGCGTTAGCGTCCGGTAGGGCAGTGACGATGAAAGTCACATCACAGCGGAAGTCAACGGGCAAGAAGAGCGTCTTATTTTCTGTTTCTTGGCCGTTTTCATGGTTTTTTTTTTCAACCACGCTTCTTTGACCACCTCTACCTTGTCTCATGGGTTGCCTTTTCACAGCAAACTCAATTAAGCCGTCTATGAGAATATGGAAAAACTTCATTCAATTTTCTCTTATGTTATCTTTGTTGTTCACCTCACATGTTAAAAGAGTTTTCCTTCCAACAGATGACACAAATTTAGGTTTTGAGATTATTCAAAACTAACTCTATTTTCGAAGAGCAGTCCCAAGAGAGGCGTACTTTGACTAAACTTTCGCTAGTATTTTCTCACATGCTTTTTGAGCTGAAGGCAGAATTTCCTGATGGAGAATTCATAGGTGTGTATTATGAACTATGTTTAACTCTTTCTATATCTTTTTTTAGCAACTGTCATCATGTCTTTTTTTTTCAGCTAATCGTTTCCGAATAACAAAAAGAGAGGCAGAAGAGTTTTGGCACAGCAACTTTGATGATAGGTTGGTGGCACAATCTTTTATAGCCCGAACATTTCTTTTTTCCTCCTAGTATCATTTCATGAAGCTCTGAAGTAGATGTAAGATTTCAAAGTGTCACAATCAGCGTTGTCGCAGTGGCGCTTCATAGTCGCGACAGCAAATGTAAAGGAAATGCCGATGTCCCCAGCACAGCACTTGGTTATTGCACTAGAACTCGGCTTCAAAAGCATTAAAAAATTGCTGAGTTCAACTCGAAAGCGATTACCATATTAGATCGACGTCATAGTCGGCGACGGAACAAGCTTGTCCGTCGCTTGCCAATCGCTCTTGGTCGAGCGATTGGCAAGCGATTGCGCAATCGCTTGCAAAGTGCACAAGCGACGGGCAATGGCTCTGCTCGATCGATACCGCAGCCGACTGCATTGACTGGGGGCGGGGCCAATCGCCCGTCGCTTGTGCACATTGCGCAATCGCTTGCCAATCGCTCGACCGAGAGCGATTGGCAAGCGACGGACAAGCGATGGAGCGATCGCGATCGCTCCATCGCTTGGTCCGTCGCCGACTATGACGTCGGTCTTAGAGTGGCGAAAACGATAATATTTACTTTTTGTAGATAGAGCCTCAAATGGTGTGTGTGAATATGCATTTAAAGCAACAGTTCAGGAACGGTTTCGCGGGAAAAAACCACCAATAATGAAGTTGTAGATGAAAACCAGACGATTAATGTATGAAAAACTGGAAAAAAACGTCGGGGAGGGTCTTAGACAGGTACTCTCCCTCTGCCGCTCAGCAATGGATAAAGACGCACGTTGGACGAGTTGTCTGAACGTGCCCGCTGTAAACGCGCTCCATTTTTCAATCAATTTTCCCTGTGGTCCCAAAACGAGCACGATTGCCGACGCGTCCAATGACGGCCGGCAAGGGGGCGGGATTGGGGAAATCCCCAAGAACACCCATGTTTGAGGGACTTTCCACCCTGTTTTTGAGTTTCTGAGGTAAGTTCGTTTATTATTTCCACTGCATATGTTCTTCACTAGGGCTCGTGTATCCCTCAGTAGTAGTGGCATTGAAATTTTCGGACCCTCCCTGAACTGTTGCTTTAAAGTCGCGTACTCTGAGTCTGCGCCCAACATCAAACCTGCGTGGTCCGGTAATATAGGGTTCCCGTAGACCGACCTAGGTCATAAGTGAAGAGACTGATTAGTTAGGAGGAAAAGGTGTGCCTCATTTGCATAATAGTCGCGAGCTTCCTTTTTTCAACTTCAATGTCCAGCTTCATGAAGCGTATTCGCTTTGCAATGAGGAGCAGTAGTAACTAGTCACCAAATTCATCAGTTTTTGTTGGAAAGTTCCAGTTTCTTATTCAGGACCTGTGTTCCATGGAGCGAATTTGTGGTAGCAATTGAAAAGACGCAGCCTAAGGCCAAGTTCAAATTATCTGCCCTCAAAAATACTGTCGACTTGACCTGGAACAATCATGTTTCTAATTTTGAATTCGATGTCTTCACCAGGTTTGTTCCTGATTGCTTTTTTCCTTCATGAACCTAACATGCAACTTTGTTCAGGTTATTTTACCCTTGGAAAACACTTCTTCGTAATTGGCAGTTACTCACTACAGCACATCCCGGTTATGTTGCTTTTCTCACATATGATGAGGTGAAAAAGAAATTGGAAAAGTTGATAGATAGGCCAGGAAGGTAATATCTAAGAGTGATTTATTTCTAGTATTTATTCATTTATTTCTAGTATTTATTCGTTCAGTACTTCTCATTGGTCCAATGTTTGTAATTGATTTCAGTTATGTGTTCCGACTCTCATGTACACGCCCAGGGCAGTGGGCAATAGGGTATGTGGCACCAGATGGAAGAATATTTCAAACAATTCCACAAAATAAATCGCTTATACAAGCCCTTTATGAAGGTAGTAAAGAAGGATTGTAAGTAATCATATATTTGAACTCTTGCTCACTCTACGTGAACGTTTGTCTTTAGCTATCTATACCCAAATGGCGATTATAAGGACGTTGACTTGAGCACCGTCATAGAAGTTCCACCTGCAGACAGAGTGAAGGTAGACAATTTTTTTCATCAGATTTTCAATTCCCTGTTTTTTGTAAGTTGCATGCAACTCAGATGGAGGTATGCAGGAGGGCGAAGATCAATGAAGTCAAGCTCTATGTAAGGAAATTTAGCGTACATACCAACAAGATTGCTCTGATAAAAAAAATTAGTGAATGTCATCGAGTTAGACAGGCGAAACTAGGCTTATTTTGAGTTTTCTAAATGAAGAAAAATCGCCACAGAAACCAACTGCTCATCTTGCAGCAAACTGTGCGATTGTTACTGTATTTATGATCTAAATTAAGTATCAGAAAACAATTTCCCTAAACCTATCCTTACGCAATAAAGTGTCTGTTTTTAAGGTAACTAGTGAACAGTACGATTTGTATTGCGAGATGGGGACAACTTTTGAGTTGTGCAAGATATGCGATGACAATGATAAGAATGTCAAGATTGAGCCATGTGGTCATCTCTTGTGCGTCCCTTGCTTAACGAGTTGGCAGGTAAGGCTTCAGTACCATTTATGCAGTGCGTTCACCCTTTGATTTTGCGTTTTTAGAATAAGCTAAGGAATTTTTATAGTATCATTAATGGATTTCCAACACGAATAACCCCCGTATCCAATTTTGGCAGCAGCATCATTTTTCCGAACTTTTTTTTAATAGTTTTTGGTTTTTGCACCGTTTCATAATTATAAGCTCACCCTGAGAAAATGAACAATTTATTAAAGTTAATGACACACGAGAGAATTAATCTATGCCTCTGTCCTTTACGAGCTTATAGAGCTCCTTGTGGATGTTTGAAACTTGTAAAACATCTGGAG